GAAACTCAAGACATATGTATTTATATTAATTCATCGCTATTCATCTTCTTCTTTACCCAAAAATGGCATTATCAAGGCCCACCCTTAGGGTTCATACAATATCCCATTATAACTTCAAATATAACTCATAAAAATGCTACCCATACTCCAATATGACATATATATATATATATATATATATATATATATATATATATATATATATATATATATATATATATATATATATATATATGAAGCTCAAGTGAAGGGACTAGCTCTTGGTGGAAGAATCTCACTTTTGCTCTTTTTGGTGTTCTTGAAGATTCAACCCATTTACTATGGATTTGATCTATAATAATGTTAGTGTTGTCACTAAATAATTTTATATAATCATCATTGTATCAAAATAACTTACCTTGAAGTGTATCCATGGTGGAAGAGCTCCTCCTTCTCTCTAGAAATCAATTCCAATTTGAAGAACTAATGTTTTCTCTCTCTAAACCCCTTGTTTCGGCCCCTTTAAAATGGACCCTAAAGCTACGTAGCCTCCCTGCGTATCCAACGCATGAAAGCTACACTAGAGGCCTTCCTTTGGCCAAATTCTGAAATTGGCTACGTAGGTTGCGTAGCATGCTGCGTAGCCTACGCAGGTTGTAAAGCTTGCTGCACTGCTACCTTTTAGTAAAAAGGTCATAACATCTTGTAGAAATCTCCAAATGACAAACGGCTTGAAGCATTAGAAACTAGACACATAGACCTTTTGTTATATAGGTTATAAACCATATAAGTCTTCATATCTTGAGAGGTATGCTCGTTTGAAGTTAAGTCTCATGCGAACTCACTTGAAACTTTATCCCATCATATAATTTTCAACTTGACTTATACTTAGGGCTCTTCTTAGACCATAAACCATTGTTAATGCACCTCATACATATATTATCATGATCAATTGATATCATTCAAATTATTAGTCATGTTCCTACCCGAATTAATATAATTAGCACCTGCCAATCTTCTTAATGGTCTTAAAACACTTCAAAAAATTTCGAGGTGTTACAGATTGACAGGTTGACAGTCATCCTAGTAGGCTATCAGCTCAACGGAAGGTGTTGGTGCACTCCACTTGCTCCGGAGTTGCCTATTTTGTCAGTATGCTCTAGACATGTATTGATTGGTATAGTAGGGTCTTGTCCCGACCTTTATGACGTTTATGTACTGTTAGAGGCTTGTAGACAGATGTCATGTATATGGATACTTTTATGGCCCTGTAGGCCTATGTTTTGAGTATACAAATGATCATGTCAGCCTTATAGGCCCGTATGTCACATGTATAAGTTTCTATATCATGTTCGGTCGTCCTATATTTAGCATTCCCTTATGTTTTATTCTGTTGATCTCATAATGGCCCTTCTGGCCCATTTACCCATGATGGTGTGATAACAAAGATGCGTTACGTTGGTACTCGGTTGATTAAGGTACCGGATGCCCGTCGCGATTCTCTGATTTGGGTCGTGACAAAAAGTGGTATCTAAGTAGTTCTGTCCTAGGGAATCTACAAGACGTGTCTAGTAGAGTCTTGTTTATGGGTGTGTTGTGCACCACACTTATAAGCATGAGTCTACAGGGTATTTAGGACTGTCACTCTTTCTTCTTACTCTAGATCGTGTGGTAGATCTCATTTGTAAGAATTAAAACTCCTAAATTCTATTATTCATAATACAACGATACCTTCATCTAGAAAGACAGTTGGTAAGAGATTGAATATGGATATGGAAGAGTTGAGTCAGAAGAACTCGATTTTGCATCATGCTTTTGATGAGTAAATGTGAGGTCTTCTGTAGATCATGTGTATACTAAGACGTGTAAGCTTCTTCATAAGGATCCCTATGGCATGAATATCTATCCACCCATATGATAAAAAGTAACGAGAGACTCAGAAGGTAGATACAAGTTTCAACAAATAAAAGAAGCAAGGTGAAGAAGGGTACGAGGTACCCAGTTGGTGAAGATTATCAGCATTTACAATTCAGTCAGAGAAATATAAGCATTTTGAGTTATCTTCAACAGTAACAGAGGTATGTACAATTGGACACACCCATCTCAGTTATGCCCTATGGGAGCTAATAGATATAGTTTAAGAGAAGGATGGGATATCAGGATCCAGTTGGGGTTAGAGTAACCCAAAATGGTGGATGGATTGTTAGCATTAGCTGACATTTCCGAAGGATATTGCAAATGTGATAGTAGTTCTCCTTGTGAGACACCCAGCTAGTGCACTCCAGAATAAGTATAGTTAGATATGAATACTAGAATGTTCCAAAAATTCTGAAGATAGTCACTGGAATTCTAGAAGGGATGAATATTTACCTTAGTTGGGCACTCGTCCCTAGTAAAGAGAGAATGTTAGGCGACCCGAAGAGCCAGCGAGATGGTGCAAGGGGAGCTAAAAGCACAAGAATATTTTGTTGAAGTTTTTAGAATAAGGTGATAGACAAAACTATTAGTAGGAAAATGAGAATAGAGTAAATGAAGCATTATGAGTAAGATGTAATAAATGGGTGATAACAATAAATCAAAATATGACAGGATGACAGAGTCTATGGTCAAGTGAAAGAAAAGACAACAGGAGACACACCTTGAGACAATAAAAGTATAAGCCTAAAGTCATATCCTCATTTCGAGAAATGAGTTGGCGAGTCCAACGTGATTACCAGAAAGAAAATTTAGACCCCCCTAGAGTACTAGAAATTAGTATGGGATAGTAAACAAGATACAAAAAATCAAACATGAATTAGGGATCGAAGGAATTGGTAATAGTCGGCATCGATGAGAATTTCAGAGATCGTGTTCCGACAATAATAGAATGGACAACAGAAGAATAACCTTTAAAGGTCATTTAGGAAGACACTTCCCTAAAACAAGCACTGTGAGCATAGTTAAGCTTAAGGGACTAAGTGTGCCAATTACACTAAGTGTCACCGTAGTGCGTAAGATATTCAGTTATCCTTGGTACAGAAGGCTTACCGCAAGGCGAGTAAGATATCAGTGAAGATGTGAAAAGACGCCAAAGATGATGAGGTAACTATGGAATAGAAAAGGAAGAATTCGGTAAAAAGGCGAAAGGAATGAGATTGCATTTATTCAGACCCTATAGATATGTTACAACTCCAAAACATTATGCAAGCACGACATTGGAAAGAGGCAGTAAGGATTCCCGTACTAGATGTTATTGATAAATAAGTGCGAATGAACACTTGATACATTAGGATCCAGTACGAGAGGAAAGTTAAGACAAAGGAAATAACCCAAGAGAGATTACGCGGAATATAGATATGAGAATGGACCAAGGAGTAGTTAGTAGTTGATTAGGGAAGAGTCCAGTTATGGCTAGACAAGAAGATACAGATAAATCAACAGATCGTGCAAGATAAACGTAGTGAAGCCCAACATAGGGAATTTAGTCTCACAGATATAATGACATTGTGATCCTTGGGAAATATTCAGATATGAGTTGGGGTAGTTAAAGGTACCGTATAAAAGAATCGCCACTAAGGAGATAGTCAAAATTTCAGTTCAGAAGTAACCCTACGAACACAAGGGCGCGGAGGTAAGTAACTAAGGATAATTATAGGCGAGTAAGAACATCAAAGATTCCTTCGGGTATACGATGTAATAACCTCACAGCTTTACAAGAGTTAGAGGGTCTCCCCTAAGTAATGCCATAAAAGATTAGTTGAGGAAAGCTTTTTCTTCTTTTTACATATGTTCCACAGAAGTTTGCATGTAGTTGCTTTATTCCACAACTCCACATTGATAAAATTTAGACCACCTGCTACCCTTGGAGAGCATAGCTTTTTCCAAGCAATCAGTGCCTTTTTGGTAGGTTCAGCATTTCCTAACCATAAGAATCTTCTGCAAATCGTGTCTATGAACTGAATGACCTTCTTAGGCAGAATGAAAATCTGAGCCCAGAATGTTTGAATTGCAACCAGCACACTTTTGATTAACATTGCTCTGCCTGCATATGACAAGAATTTTTTTGTCCAACATTGTATCCTACTCAACATTCGATCAATTAATGGCTCACACTGAATAACTAACATCCTCTTTGTGCTCAAGGGTACTCCTAAATATCTGAAAGGTAATTCTCCCTTATTATAGCCCAGCATATCCATAATTTGCTTTTGAGTCATGATATCCGCTCCTCCAAAGTAAATGCAACTTTTGTTTGGTTTTGCAATTAACCCTGAAGCTGCAGAGAAAGCTTGGAATTGTTGGTGTAGCACCCTTACTGAATGTATGTCCCATCTGCAAAAAAGTAACAGATCATCAGCAAATCCTAAGTGCACTAGACTGACTTTGGCACACTTTGGATGGAATTTGAATTCCTTGTTCTCCTTCAATGGCTTCAACAGCTTACTCAGATATTCCATTGTCATCACAAATAGTACTGGTGAAAGAGGATCTCCCTGCGTAAGCCCCTTTCTTGCCTCAAAAGGCTTTGCTGGTTGCCCATTGATTATAACTGAATAGGTCACTGTACTAATGTACACCATTATCCATTTTATAAATTTCTCAGGGAACCCCAATAGATTCATCACTTGCTCAATGTATACCCATTCCACAGAGTCATATGCTTTCTGCATATCAATTTTAAGCACACATCTTAGTGATATATTCTTCCTCCTATACCCTTTGACCAATTCATGACTCATAAAAATGTCGTCAGTAATCAATCTACCAGGTACAAAAGCTGTTTGGCACTTGTCTATGAGATCTGTCATAACTTCCTGTAGTCTTGCTGTTAGGATTTTTGATATTATCTTGTATAACACTGTGCAACAAAAGATAGGCATGAACTCCTTGATGGTGGTTGGGTTCTTTACTTTAGGTATCAGGGTAATAATGGTACAATTGATGGCTTTGCACATTTCAGTAGTTTCAAAGAATTCCATTACTGCTGTAGTAACATCCTCCCCAATTATGTTATATGTCCTCTTGAAAAAATATGAATTATATCAGTCACATCCTGGTGCCTTGCTATCATCAATGCCATGTAAAGCTTTCTTCACTTCCTCTTTAGTGATTGGCTGAATTAACTGCAGTTGTTGTTGCCTGTTAAAGGTGTATCCACTCTGCATAATTTCTGGATCAACTACTGGTAATTGTGAAGCTGCTGTACCAAGTAATTTTTTGTAGAAGCTTAGGATCTCCTCTTCCACTTCAGAGTTACTTTGTAGAATTTGCCCTGCACTATCCATCAATCTGCCTATATGTTTCATTGCCTGCCTGTTTTTCACACAAACATGAAAGTATGATGTGTTAGAATCCCCTAGCTTGAGCCATTTGATTCTTGACTTCTGTTTCACGATACTTTCCTCCACTTCCAACCATTTTTCCAATTCAAATTTATCCTCCTTCTTTTGTACTATTGCTTCATTATCATTTCCGAGAAGTGTCATTCCCATTTGAATGTTCTCAAGTTTGTTCCTTGCTGCTTGAATCTTGTGACCAACACTGCTATACTCTTGACTGTTTAGTTGCTTTAGATCTCATTTCAACTTTTTGAGCTTATTCCACAGACTCAGCATTGCAGATACCCTGTGCCTCATTCTCCAGCATTGATTGAGTATATCATCAAAGTCATGATGTGCTGCTAAACAATTGAAAAATTTGAAAGGTCGCTTTCCCTCCATCACAGTATCAGTAATAGTTACTTTTAGAGGACAATGGTCTGAAAATCTTGGATTCATAATGATCCCCTCCATGGTAGGCCATTTTTGTATCCACTCTGCATTGACAAGTATTCTATCAATTCTACTATGAACATGATTGTTTGTCCAGGTGTACTTTCTCCCCATTGTTCTGATCTCATCTAGTCCAGCATCAATTATGAAAATTTTAAAGTCTTTTACCTCCACTTCTTGTACTGGATTCCCCTGCACTCTGTCCTCTATAGACAGAATACTATTGAAGTCCCCCATTATTAAGCTTGGGCCAGTGACTCCATTCATAGTTCCTTTCAGATCCTCCCATAGTATCTTCCTATCTTGTATGTTATGCTTTCCATACACTGCAACAAAGTTGAAATTGGTATTGCAATGCCTCACACTCACCTGCCCTGCTATGTATTGTTCATGAGCTTGTTTCACCTCAAACTCCACCTTTGTTCGGTCCCAAACTACCCAAATTCTACCACCTGGTGCCTCATCATAGTTAGCAGCCCATTGCCAATTACTGAACACCTTTCTCATTATTGGATCAGCATTATTTGCCTTAACTCTATTTTCTAGGACAGCCATTACTACCACATTATTCTCCCTACATAATTTTTTTAGTTCTTTTTGCTTATACACTTTATTCATACCCCTAACATTCCATGTTATGATATTCATCATGATATAGTATTTATTTTGGGTCCACCTCCTCCTTCATTTCTACTCCTCTGACCTCTTATTCCCTGAGCTTCAGATAGTTACACAATTTTTTGAGCAGTGTCAACTAGAGCTTTAAAAGCATTACCAATGTCTACTTTATCCTCTCTTGTGGTTCCCATATGCTTTTTTGATGCAGACTTCCCTCTAGCAACCTGCCATTGCTCTTCTTTTCACTGCTGAATAGGCATTGCTTCACCTTCTGGTTCCATTTGGTCCATGAACCTACCATGAGCATCAATTTTATCCACCTTAGGATCAAGTACCCTTACTATTCTCCATTCTTGCTTTATTTTCTGCTCATAGCCTCTCTGTTGTCCTCCCTCTTTATTATGCTTTTGTTGGTCGCTACATGAGTGACCAATTTGGCAACATGTTTGGCAGTACTGAGGCTTCCAGTCATACTGTACTATCTACTCGATTACCTTTCTCTTAGGGTCGTATAACTTGATTGATCCTGGTAGTGGCCTAGTAATGTCCATTTCAATTAACACCCTTGCATATGATACTCTATAACTCATTGTAGTACATGCATCCGCATATAAAGGCTTCCCCAACCTACTCCCAATTTTGCTTAAGGCCTGATTACTCAGTAGCTAAGTGGTAGCTTAGGAAATTTAACCCATAGAGGGATGGTTTTGAGTATTTCCTCACTAAAATCAAACCCTTCCTTCCATGGTCGGAGAATAATTGGTCTGCTATTCATGGTATACGGTCCATTCAGAATCACTTCATCCCTTTCTTCATAACTATTCATCAAAATTATAAAGTAGCCATCGTTATGGAATAGTACCTTTGGTTTCCTGAGTTTGCTCCACTGGCTTGCTATGAATCGTTCAATTGCCCCAATAGTTGGAGTATTTCCCACCACGTACAATATTATAGCTCGATTCCACTTCTATTCTCCTCTGCAATGTCTTCATCCAGCAATTGAACAACTATTTTCCCATCCTGTATCATCGGGGGAATATATGATAGATTCATACCTTTAGCTGTAAGTTTGTTCTCACTAAGCAATCCAGCCCAGGATCTTCCCCCAGTTCCACTCTGTGTTGTTTTCACCTCTTGCATGTTCTTCTCACTGTCAATTATAGTACTGCTCTGGTCATTTGGTAAGTCAGCATTTACTGTTCCATTGCTTTGCAAATTGCTCGTACTCGCATCGCCTATTGAGTTCGGCGCAGGTACTCCTTTGACTCCAGCGTTCATCATCAACATCGCAATGGTGACTGACTTCACCGGTGTTGTCAATTTAGTTCGAATGTTGCTTAGATCTGGCCAATTTAAATCGTTGTCACTGTCTAGATCCAAATCTCCTTCCTCATGCATTTTCTCTTTAGATTTTGATGATTTTTTCCTTGCTCTCTCGTGATGAGTTCAGTTAACTTCTTTTCTACCATCGGTGTTTTGCTGGTGTTCCTCTTTGGTCGTCCTCTTCCTCCCATTTCCGGCGAAGGCGCATGTTAGTTAGCACCTAACGTCCGCCGAGAGAAAAAAGACGAGCGATTCCCCTTGTCTAGTCTTTGAATGACTTCATTATCATGTTAATGATGCCTTTAAGTTAATGTAAGAAGTCTATAAGGGGTGATATGGGTTATACGGATTCCAATCGAAGCTTGCCGCTCGTCGTGAAGTAGTTGTGATATGTTGTTGCTTTTTTGTGTCTTGTTATTGATATTTATATGTTGCTGGATTTCTCTGGTTGTTGTTGTTAGTATATGGTATTGGAGGAGGCCCTTTTTACAGGGGAGACGCTGCCCGAATTTATGTAAACGAGCTACTAGCTTAAGTTACAAACTTAGCCTTTGCTCAGCACTAATTTTGAATCTCCTTATACTATGATAGATTGAGTTGACTTGTTTGAAGAGTTGCTTGGAAGGTATTAAGGACTCAACGTGGTTAAGGTATGTTAAGGCACTTCCTTATTTCTTTTGGTATGATCTAAAGTGAAACGAACATAAACGATACGCTATTTCATAACGGATCTACTCCTAGAAATTAAGGTTGTCCATGCTGTTCTTTCCTTACAAAGTTATTCTAAGCAAGTATATATGATCCTTGAATCCTACTGAGGTTCATATTGATAGTATGGATGTTCATAATGTTAATAGAAGGTGCAACGACCTTACGTCACTCCGAAAGGTTTAGAACGTGATTTCACAAGTCCAACATGCATTATATATAATATCTATTTTACTCTACCGAGCCGTGCTATAGTCGGCCGGGTACGACACCTATTGTGCAACCACTGATCAGTTGGGTTTACCAAGCTCCACGTGGCCGGGTTCGTTTTTACTGAGTCCTCTTCGAGGCCGGGTACGATATGATGATGATGACGCCCACAGAGGCGTATGTTTTTAATAGTATATATATGTATCATGCATTTCATGTCAGTAGCCCTCAAAGGCGCTCAGATGCTACAGGTTGTATCTCCTCTATCTCTCTTTACATTACTGTTCTTATTTATGCTTTCCTGTCTTACATACTCGGTACTTTATTCGTACTGACGTCCTTTTTGCTTGGGACGTAGCGTTTCATGCCCACAGGTCTTGATTGACGGGTTGATAGTCATCCTAGTAGGCTATCAGCTCAGCGGAAGGTGTTGGTACACTCCACTTGCTCAGGAGTTGCCCATTTTGTCAGTATGCTCTAGACATGTATTGATTGGTATGTCGGGGCCCTGTCCCGACCTTTATGACGTTTATGTACTCTTAGAGGCTTGTAGACAGATGTCATGTATATTGATATTTGTATGGCCCTGTCGGCCTATGTTTTGAGTATACGAATGATCATGTCGGTCTTATAGACCCCTATGTCACATGTATAAGTTTCTATATCATGCAGGGTCGTCCTATGTCTAGCATTCCCTTATGTTTTATTCTGGTTATCTCATAATGGCCCTTCTGGCCCATTTACCCATGATGGTGTGATAAGGAAGATACGTTACGTTGGTACTCGGTTGAGTAAGGTACCAGATGCCCTCGCGGCCCTCCGATTTGGGTCGTGCCATACAATGCTATCCTACTACAACTATGTAGTAAGTTAGCAAAATCTTATATACAGAGAGAGACCGCGCGCTAGTGTATATAATTTGCTAAAACCAGTTAAACTATACTTATAGTATTAACAAATTTACTACATCTTCGGCATATATATTTGCTGCAATTTTATTAATCTATATCGATAAAAAAATAGAAAACAATTTACACTACCACCAGTGTATATAATATTTAAATCCTTTAACCAAATACTCTACTATATTACCGTTTGAAAGAACAAAATGAAAAAACCTAAATTAAAAGCAACAGCCTTGGCAAGATATTTTGTCCCACCTACTAGTAACGAACGAGATACTTGGCACCACTTGACAAAATAGAGCTTATCGACTTGTTGGGCAATTTGGCATGGCTTCTAATATCCTCCAACTCCACCATATCCACACTCTCCCTTCAATTAATCTTCCTTCAAATCCAATTTCTAAAATTCCAATATCACAACCACTCACAAATCATATCCATGTAAAGCAGTTCACAATCAAATGCACTTCCAATCCCACGCCTGAGTCTTCAGACCCCAATTTCCTCAGTCCCACACCAACTTCAGAAACAACAATCAGCCCAGAAAAATTCCCAATAGAGAAACGAAGAAAGTCTGAGATAATTCGCAATAGAAAATCAAGAACTGGGCTTGTGAAGCAGGATCCACCAAACTTTGAGATAGGATGGAAGAGAACAAAGCCTATTAATTTGGAGAAGCCTGTAGGATATGTGATAATGGATTTTTTGGAGAAATTGGAGGAGTTGATGGCTAGAGATTTTGGGTCGACAGCATTGTTGGCTAAAGTGGGAGAAATAGTGGCAGAAAGAGCCAGAGAAGAAGCAGAAGTGTTAAGGGAAGAAGGGAAAGTTGAAGATAGAATGGTGACAGAATTGTCCAGAGTCTTGAAGTTGATGGAGATGGATTTGGCTATGGTTAGTGCTGCAGTGAAAGAAGAGACACTGAATGAGAGACTTGAACAAGCTAAGGCACGTTGTAGGCAAGCAATTCTTGTTGCTAATTCTTTTTGAAAGATTTTGCTGATAGGAAGCTCAAATCTTCTTTAATGTTGTGTAATATAGTAACTACCAGTAGTACAAGAAATCTTTCTATGGAGAAATCATTACAAAAGCAATTTTCTGTATTGGATTCTCAGTTAGCTGACTAGAAAGAGAATTATAGTGCATTCAAGTGTATCGTTCTTCTGAGCTTCTATACTGCGTTCTTAATTTACAGTATTGGACTAGCAAAACCTTCTTCCTTCTTTTTTTCCCTTGCTCTTTCCCCTCCTCAACAAGCTCCCCCTGGGGTTAAGAATGTGGATGATAGTTGCATCAACAAAGTACTGTTTTAGACACATGGGTATGAAAACTTTCTTCTCAATCAAATATATATATTTTTTTTGGTAATTAACTTTCTTTTGTATTAATCACCAAAGAAGAACTGTACAAATCCATAGTCAAGCTAACTCAGCTGACTAACTCAAAGTTTAAAAGCAAACATAGCATACCTATTTACACATATCACTAATGAATCTACTTTGTTCCTAGATAAAATTGATGTATATAACTCTTAGCTCGAGTAGCTACTCTAACATTGCAAATATATGCTATCTCCCTTGCAAGAACATCACTGCCTCGATACCTTTGGTCAAATATACGTGTGTTTCTTTCTATCCAAATTGCATATGAGGTCTCAGCATATATCATTCTGAAGATGCTAGCCTTATTGGTCTTCCCTTTTCCTTGATGCACTGAAGGTGTTGGTCCCAGCAGGTGGTGATCATTTGTACACTTTGAATCCACTTCATGACTTTCTTCCACAGTTCTATAGTATATGGACATTACACAAACAGGTGCTCCCTTGATTCATCCTGACCTTGACACATAACACATTAAGGGGTGACATTTAAACCCCAGTTGGCTAGCCTATCTTTAGTAGGTAGTCTTCCATGGAGCAACAGCCACATAGTGAAGACTGCCTTTGGCCTGGCAGAGTTGTGAAAGACTAGACATTTCTAGCTAACTCTTGGTAAGTCTCCTAAATGTTGTAGGTATATTTGTCTGATAATGCTCTTGCTGAGATCATTTAAGTTCTGTGTCTGTAGCATGGTTACTCTTGATCCAATTATTCTTCTCACCATCCAACTTGCTTGTTGTGGCAATGGCATATGTTGTAGTAGTTGTTGTTTGATATAGTATGCATTGACCCACCTTATCCATAGCTTGTCATGTTTGTGTGCTAAGTCCCAGCACGTTTTGGCAATTGCTGCTTTGTTCCATACAGGAAGGTTTATGAGAATAAGTCGACCAGCTGACCTAGGAGTACAAATCTTTTCCCATGCTACTAATGCCTTCCTGGTTATTGTGTTAGTTCCAGACCAAATGTAGCTTCTACAGAGTGCCTCAATCATTTTCAATACCTTAGCAGGCAAGATGAACAATTGAGCCCAGTAAGCTTGAATACCAAAAATAACAGATTGAACCAACTGCACACGACCAACATAGGATAGCATTTTAGCAGTCCAAGAAGAGATCTTAGCTGTGATTTTCAATCAAAGGTTGCCATTGTATGAGAGTTATTTTCTTTGTAGATAAAGGAATGCCTAGGTATTTGAAGGGCAAGGATCCCTTTTCAAACCCCAGGTGAGCCAATCAATATCTGCTCCTTCACATCTTGTTTCACCCCACCAAAATACACTGAACTTTTACCCAAATTAGCCTGCAAACCTGATGTTTCAGAGAACTGAGAGAAGTTTTTGTACAATGTGACCACTGAGGATAGATTACCTTTAGCAAATAACAAGAGATCATCGGCAAAACTCACATGAGTTATGTCCAGTTTCCTACACCTGGGTGATACTGGAATGTAGGTTCCTTCTTAAGCTCATGCAGGGATCTGCTCAAGTACTCCATCACTATTGCAAATTGGAAAGGAGAAATAAGATCTCCTTGTCTAAGACCCTTAGCAGCATTGAAAGGTTCTGTGGTTTCTCCATTCACAAGGATAGTATAGTTGACTGTCTTGATGCATTCTATTATCCCCTTGATAAACCTATCAGGAAAACCAAGCTCCTCCATCACCTATTGTAGGAAGATCCATTCTACTGAGTCATAAGCTTTTTGGAGATCAATCTTTATCATACACTTAGGATATATCTGAGCTCTACTGTAAGATTTGACTAGTTCATGAGCTAGGATGACACTGTCAACAATCTTTCTACCAGGAATGAACCATGCTTGAGCTTCACAAATGATGAATGGCATGACTTTCTGCAATCTAGAAGCCAAGATCTTAGAGATCATCTTGTATAGGATTGAACAGCAGGCTATTAGTCTATATTCTTTGACTGTGGTAGGCTTTGTCACTTTAGGAACTAATGTAACAGCGGTGCAATTGATGGCCTTATAGATCTTTCCTGTTGAGAAGAACTCCTTTATAGCATCTGTGATCTGAGTGTTAATAATGTCCCATGCTTTTTTGAAGAAAACTACATTAAAGCCATCAATACCCGGAGCTTTATCATAGACTCTGAACAATCTCTTGATTAGTTACCTCTGCACAAGATCAACTCTTTGTTGATGAGACAGTGTAGGACCATTCTTCATGTATGATCTGTTGATAGCAAGCAAAGAAGTGGCAGCTGACCCCATTAGGCTTTTATAGAAATCAACTATCTCCCTTTTGATTGCATCAGGGTCAGTCAACTTGTCTCCTAGTAGAGTAGTGATTTCTGTAATTTGCTTCTTTTGAGTTCTATCCTTCACTACTGCTGTGAAGTACTTAGAGTCTGAATTTCCAAGTTGTATCCATCTTGCTCTAGCTTTCTGTTGCAGGACACTCTCTTCAATTAATGACCACTTCTCAAGGTTGAGTAGTGTTTCCTTCTCCATATCTAATAAAGCATCATTGCAATTCAATGAAATCTTCTCTTGGATAACCCTCAAATCTATTCTAGCCTTCTCAATTTTCTGAGTGATGCCCCTGAATTCCTTAGAGTTTAAAGCTTTCAAGGCAGGTTTCATGTCTTTCAATCTTGTCCAAACTAATTTCAAAGTACCCTGTGTACTATGAGAATTCCACATGCTAGCAACTACTTAGGAAAAATCTTCATGTGCTGCCCATATGTTAAAAAATCTGAAAGGCACTCTACCAGTCCATGTTGAAGATGACAGTGTTAATAGCATAGGAGCATGGTCTGAAATTTGAGGCAGTCCATAAGTTGTTTCCACATGACCCCAGGACATCATCCATTCATAATTGCCAAAAACTCTGTCCAATCTACTGCTGACTCCATCTACTCCAGGCTGCTTATTAGACCATGTATAATAATCACCCTTCCAAGGTAGTTCTGTCAATGTAGTATGTTGAAGGCAGGCAACAAAGTCTTGAATTTCTGAGTAGCTTACTAGATTACAAGACAATCTATCGTTGTGGTATAGTACTGTATTAAAATCTCCAGCTATCAACCATTGTAATGCTATACTCAGTGATAGTAGTTGTAAGTTATCCCATAGGGCTCCTCTTTGTTCTAGCCCATTGTATCCATAGACTACAGTGAGCAAACAATCTATATCTCCTCTTCTACTTTTTACCTGACAGTGTATCATTTGAGCATCATCTTTAATACCAGTAATAATCAAGTGATTGGTATCCCATAGTATCCAAATCCTTCCATTCCTAGCATCTTTGTAGCTTGTCAGCATACTCCATCCAGGAACAATAGCTTTTGAGATCCTTTGAGCATTCCCTTCCTTCACTTTAGTTTCTACAAGTCCTACTAGCTTGATTCTATTTTCCTAATATACCCTCTAACATCCTTCTGTTTATATCGTTTATTATTTACACCCCTTATGTTCCAGAACAACCAATTCATCATTGTTGAATGATAGTTCCACCTCTATCCCGAGGTGGAATGTGCTCCTCATGCCTACTTGTTGATACAACTTCAAACCTATTCTTCACTGGGATGGGAGTCAAAGGTGGGGATTTGATGAAATTAAGTTCAGGACTTTGCACTGCTTTCCCTTTATCATTCTGCTTCTCAGCTACAGGGTATGATCTTGTTATTAGTCTTCATAGGATCAGGTGCCTTTGTTGTTCCTCTTTGATCTACAACTTCCACTTTGTTGCCAACTTGCTGCTGTTCCAAGATGAAGTATTCTGAGGACCTGCTGCATTATGTATAGGTCCTTTGGTTCTCCATTCCTGTGTGATAACCTTGTTACTCCTTGTTCTCCTTGTCTGGTTGGGATGCTGCATCACAGGTCGTGGCTGGTTGGTACACTTGTATCCCACAACCAAACATTTATCACAATTAGCAGGTTTCCAGTCATAGGTGACAGCGTGCAAAAATTTCTTTCCAGAAGGATCCATAACCACAATTTCAGTTGGTAATTCTGTTGTAACATTAACTTCAATCAAATATTTATCTGGTATCAGAAGGCAATCACTATTGCAAGAACAAACTAGCATCTCCTTGAAAGTTAGATGTGTGTTACTGGATAGACCTTACCTGTAAGAAAGACTTAAAAGAGAGAAATTGGCCGCAGTATCAAATCCACGAATAAATATTGTACTCAAGTTGCCACAATTAGCAATGAATAAATTTTGATAAAGAACAAAACATAATTGGGTGGAAAGACACGGTAAAGAAATGTTATTACAAAGCTGTTAATCACTTCATATTTGTTTCATTCAGAAGAAATAAGAAAAGAGGAACAATTGCTTTTCATAGGTTTGTTTTGACGATGAAAATAAGCAGAGAGCTCAACAGTCTACAATTGAACCCTTTGCACTACTCCAGCTAGGATTTCTCATTCTGCTTAAAACTACAGGCAGACCAATCTGCCCTGTTTTCTTTTTCTCCATGTGGGTATATACCTTGCAGGCTATGGTGTTTTCACAATTGTTCCACTAACATAAGGTTTGAACCAAATGGTCTGAAATGTTAGCACTGGACAAGATGACTAGCTACAAAATGAAAATACAGGTAAGGCCTACTAAACCATCGAAAATATCAGGTAGGAAATTTGAAGGCTAAATGTGTGTATCATCGACCAATTACAAATACGAAACTATCATATACCTGATCTCCAAATTAACAAATGATTCTACAGAGAACTCATTTTTTGGGAAAAGGGAGAACTAAGAACTCGGGAGGACGCGTGTTTCAGATTCTCTCCTTACTCTTCAAAATGAAACAAGACATCTGCACCACTTGATTCTTAGTCCTTTATACGTTCCAGTGCAAGTTCCCTTCAATGTTTCAAATAATCATAGGCAATAAATCCATGATAACAAAAGTCAAAAGAAGTGTCTCACGTTTCTCTTGATCCACTTCCAACTTGATGTTGAATCTCTGAATAATTCTAAAGCTGGACTAACATAGAGCTCTACGCCCAATGTACGAGTTCTCAGCACTAAAAGTTGTACATCTACATGATCTGCAAAAAGTTGATCTCAAGCAATTGCTGCACCAAAAAAGAATGACAAAGAAAAGTGAGCACAGAGGAAGGGGGGGAATAAAGTACCAAGCAGGAATAGATAAACTAAATGATCTGCAAAGAATATTCTCGTACAGAGATTGGCACGTTCAAAATTTATACACACCTAAGAATTTTCTAAATCATCTATGAACTCCACTGTTCACATCTCACATTCTTTCCAATTTTCTTTTTCTTCTTTTTCCCCTTTGCAGAGACAGATTTTCCATAAGTTTCTTGACAAGCTTGGAGTACACTGCAAACGTGAATATCATCCTTCGGTATTTTATTGAAAATATTTGCTGCAGATTTGTAGTCCCCTAATGCCAACAAGGCTTGATACATCCTGCATCAAGCGGTGTATTAGAGCAAATAAGGAATACATAAAAGGACAAACACCATTTGTGATCTCAAAAGTAGCCCAAACATAAGGTCAAAATACATCAATTGTTGCATCCTTCGGTAGTCACTAATAGGGAAACTGCAGCTTTTGTCAGAATAATTGTTACAATTTAACTCCTAGAATCAGTGAAAATAACTATTGTATGAAAATGATGTAAATGATTCATTTAGTGTATGTACCTATCTGTAGTGCAGAAGCTTTGTTAGTTTGATGCTCAATTACTCAAATGGTCACTCAACTATCCCAAATTATCTCCTAAAGTCACTTTTCTTTCGTTTGTAACAACAAAGTCACTAAACTATGCCTATTGCACTCAGAAGGTCACTCAACTAGATTTTTCAAATTTTGGATTGCCAAATACCTATTTTACCCTCTAAACATAAACATTTATCTTCTTTTTATTTTTTAAACTCTTTAATATTATGATTTTTCCCTTTTTAATTTACATTATGGAATTACCTATAGAATAAATAAATATTATTTATAAATTAAAAAAAAAAAGTATTTAAGTATATATAATGTTGGAATAACAAAATAATGAGCATAGTAAATTAATTAGAATAATTTGTTAGTAATAATAATTTTAGGATTTAACAACAAAAATTCAAAAATTTATTTACACAATTTAGAATGAAAGAAAATAAAGGTTGTAAAATATATATTCCATGCACGTAATATAAAAATAATTATTTAAATAAAGGTACTTTTATAATATACATTTTCAATTATATTATATATATTCCATGCACGACTTAACATACCATATACAGATAATCCCCCCTGCTTTCCGGCGACATAACTTTGTGTCATCGGAAAGTTGGTAGAAACATAATAATATAATTGAGCATAAATATATACTGTATATTATAAAAATACATTTATTTAAATAATTATTTTTATATTACGTGCATGGAATATATATTTACAACCTTTATTTTCTTTCATTCTGAATTGTGTAAATAAATTTTTGAATTTTTGTTGTTAATACTAAAAAGTTTAAAAAATAAATAAAAAGAATATAAACGTTTATAATTTAGAGGGTAAAATAGGTATTTGGCAATCCAAAATTTGAAAAATCTAGTTGAGTGACATTCTGAGTGCAATAGGCATAGTTCATGATTTTGTTGTTACAAATGAAAGAAAAGTGACTTTAGGAGAAAATTTGGGATAGTTGGGTGACCATTTGAGTAAT